TTAATAAAAATTAAATAGGGAGTTTCAGGTAACGGTAAATTTTAAAAGCTTTTTTGTATTTTTAAAGTTCAAGTAAGGTATGCTACGGTAAAAGAAGTAAGCTCCTATTTTTCTGCGTCTGCGAAATTTGAAAAATGCTTAATTTTGAAAAAAAGTGATTATTAATATCATTCTGTCCGTCGGTCTGTCTGTCCGAGTGTCTGTTTACAAAACTTTTACACCCTTGAAGACAAGAAGCTGAAATTTTATACATATATAGATTTCTAAAATCCGTTTTTTTCAAAATTTTTGATTCCGTTTTTCTCCTAAACCCCAGGTTGCAAATGTCTGAAATTTTAACAGCTTTTAGACACTAATAGAGTTATTTTCGTTAGAAGAAATTTTTTTTCCATCTCTACCCCTCTCTCAAGTTATCGACACTCGAAACTTGTAAAATTTGAATATTGGGCACCTTATAGTTGCGAAACCGCAAGCTTTATCAAATTTCTACAAACATGGGAAGGTAACGGTAGATTCTATGTCATTAAAAAATATAATTATTTTTCTAAACTCACGCAATTAACCCTTAAAATCGACCATTATGTTAATAATTTTTTAATTTACAGAGGGTTTTATTAATTGCTTTATTTCAGAGACTGCAGAAATCGTTCATCGTAAAATAGTTTCGTGTATGCATGAAAATAATTTCAATGGTGTGGTAGGTATACATATATTATTTTTAAAAGAAGTATTTTCACTTGTTGAAGGGAAAAGTGCTACAATACAAACCATTGGTTTGACCCAACTTTGTTTATTATACAAAAATGCAATTAATTTACACCAGGGAAGATCATTTGGTAAATTTTGTTTTCTTCTTATTTTCAAAACGTTTTCTTTTATATAAGAACAAAAGTAAAATTATTTTGAAATACTATAAATAGGATATTCAGTTATTAGTAAAATTAATGTTAAGTTCCTATTTCCTATTTCGACCCTATTTATACAAATATTTTTAATTCATATTCTTAATAATAAGTGTGTATATGAATTTATATTTGTAAATTTTCGCAGTTTGCTAAGATCTATTTAACTGATTAATTTATTGATGAACCCGGCCAATTCAAAGAGGAAGCTACCTAATATATTTGGAATAAGATCGTTTAAAAAACGATTGTAATTTAAAAAAATAAATTTTAAATATTTTGTATATAAAATTGAATCTTAATTGCATGTAAGTTATTTCTAGTCGTAAATTAATGAAAGTGAACATAATCAATGAAATTACAAATGCATAATACTTCAACATTAGTGCTTCAAAAAATATAGTTTAATATCATCGGAAATGTGGCTATTAGTAACTAAAACTAAAACCGTCATCACTTACAGAAGGAAAGGGGGGGGGGGAATAATATTGGTAGTATTAATTTAATATTAATATAAAAAAAAATTTAACAGCTAAAAGAACACAAGTTGAAAAGCGTTACATAAATTGGGAATAAATTAAACAAAATCATTACTACTGTATAACCTTAAGTACATATGTTCGTACAAAAACCACACGAAAACAAGTTAATTTTGCGTTTACATACGCTTCGCTGTCTTGTGCATACCATAGTCAGTACTATGATGCAGAATTGTGAGAAGCTCGACCAACCTAGTAATTTTAGGTTTTAGGGACCCTCCCTGTAAGAAATTCTATCTAATAAAACTGGAGCATTCACCTTTCCCACTCCAAGTTGATAAATGAAAATTATATCGAAAACCACCCTACGACAAATCACGCGACCTTATGACCAAAAACTCAAGCCTACCTTCATAAGGGAGTAATGTAAATGCATCCGACCAATATATACCGCGAAAATCGGAAAGTAGGAAACGCCTCTACACAGCTTCAATACGATCAATATCAACATCAGGAAGAGGGAACCAAACCTGGGATGCGTACTCTAAAACAGGCTTCACTAAAACAACATAACGATAATTCACCACAAAATGATCATCAAACATCTACACCACCTCAAAACAAAAACTAGAGTAGAACACACCCTATTAGCCATCAAATTCAGATGATCCTTAAAATCGGGCCTACAATCTAACTTAGCACCTAGACCCCAAATTTAATCAACCTTATACAAAATTTGCGCATTAAGACTATAATAAAACCTATATTATACCTTACACAATAAAAAATCACCAATTTTTACCGACCGTATTGTGTATACAATAGGTAGGTTATGTGACGGCAACAAATTTTGCATATCGAGTTTTCGGTGGAAGTGCACTTCTCCAAAGTAGGGAAGTGTACTACTCCAAAGTAGGGAAGTGTAAATAAACTATTTTTGGCAACCTGTCGGTCTGTGTGTGCACGCGTGTATTTCAAGTTCTGCTGAGCCGATTTTGATGAAATTTTATATGTAAGTTTATTTTCAACATGGCACGGGTTGATCAAATTTTTTATTATGTCAGGCCTCGGGAACTGTACCTTTTAGCGGGCCTGTTTTACATTTTTGAACATTTTGAAGAAAATATTCAACCGATTTCTTTGAAATTTCATATATAAGCTCAGCTCGACCGTCCGCAAAACTTCCTAACTTTAGGAAGAAATCAGGTGTCAGCAACTGGACGTTAACTACAGGCCAAATATACATTTTTGCGTTTATAAAGAGAAATAATCAACCGATTTCATTGAAATTTAATATTTAAATTCCTCGTATTAAAACAATGAACATATAAATTTCTTGGATAGATCAGGGCTCGAAAACTGATCTGCAGGGCGGTTTTACATTTTTCACCATATCTACGGAACGAATTGATGGAATTTCTTGAAATTTGATATTTGAGTTCTGGTTGTTACCGAAACTAATTGGCGAGCATTTCAGGGAATTCGGGTAGCACAAAGCGAAGCTCTACTAAGAGCGAAATTTACATTTTTCTTGGTATGTTAACTATAAGCTTACTAATGTCCTAAAAATTGGAAAGATACACATTGCGGTCGATTATGTGCTGACCACATCAAATTTTTTTTTTTGCTAAGATGTTAAAAATCATCTAAAGAAGAAGATAGGTTGACTCAATTTTTGTCAGAGCTATTTACAGTGGGGAACTTTAACCGAACCAAAAACGCACCTGTATGGTTATAAACTCCTAAATTTAGTCAATCTAATATTTTATGAGGGAAGGCACCGAAATGCTATCTCAGCACTTTAGGGTAAATAGAGAGGTCATGTTCATTTTAGTCTTTCTGTTCTATTGCTACAGCCCACGTTGAGAGGTCTCTATATTTACAATACATGCTGTTCCAAACGCACCCTATATTTCATGGCACAGTTTCATTCCTTGCAAATCCCTGTGAATGTCACCGTTGCACACGTACTCTATTCTTTTGAAGGAGGCATTGCGCTAAGACCTTGTTCTGCAAAGTTTATATTTGTTTCATGCGTGACTACACTGAACAACCCCATAGCCGTAAACCATACGTACAATGTTGTATTATATAATTATAAACCAACACCTTATTTTTTGTTGACGACCTAGATCTACGACCTAGGAACCAGTAGTATTCGCTATATTTGTTTTCTAATTCTATTTTTTTGTTCTTTACATGTTCTTCCCGTCCGAGCTTAACATCCAAAGTCATACGTATCCAAAATCAAAAGGTATTTCGCTGTTTGGATTGATACTTTAGCACCATTTAAACTCAAATGTAATGGGTTTACTAAATTTTTGTTTTGTGAAATACACATATACAGATTAACTTTCACTTAGCCTTATGTTCCATGTATTTGTCCATTTACTTATATTGTTACTTGCTTCCTGTAATTTTTTTTCAAGTAATTCCACGAATTGCAAAGCTACCAGCTTGAATAATAAATCGTCGTACTAAACTTTATCGAACAAGTGTGCCACGTCCAGAAATATTGTCGCTTATATTTGAAACTTCTTTAGGTTTTTGCATTATAATATTATCAATTCCTTTAATTTTCTTGCCATTCTTAGGTTTTTGTAAGACAAAAGAGCATAGGTAACTAGCAGGGTGTGCCTCGTTCAAGTTGGCACATCTGACCTGAAAATTATCTTTCTTATTACGTTCTGCCGTCATATGATTACCAGCATATTTATCACATTTAGTCCCTTTTTGGAAAAATCTTTGTGTATATTCGAACCTCTGGCATCTCTTGCATCTACGCATTTGAGTGCTCTTTGAATTAGTTCCACTTGATGTGCTGTGGCTCAAATGATGGATGAAGATTTGTGAGCGTTACTTTAATTGACCTCGTCAAATTATTTTCATAAGTATGAAATTTGGCTTTGTTAACAGCTTCAGTTAATTAACTATATTCATTTTTATTTTCAACATTTATTTTTGGTTGATCGTTGTTCATAATGTTTATTGATAATTTGCTCTTTAAAAATCCTTATTAGCTTCATGTAATTATTTATATCACTAACTATTACCGGCGAAGATTTATGTTTTTTAAGTTCAGCATTTCGCCTTGGTGGAGATTTTTCTACTTTAGTGTTATTAAATTCTATTTAATTTAATGAATCTATTTCTGGTGAACTCTTGCCTTTTCTCTTCTTTGAGTTCCTTACGGTTTTATAAATCGAATCAGTTTCCCTAGCCAACTCTTTCTGTCTGTTTTATACGCTGTTTAAACTCTTTCTGTTTTTTGTCTTTCTCGGTGCCATTTGAAGGTGCATACTGCTGTCCCAAAAATATTAGATTTTCTGTCATAAATTAGCAAATTTCTTCTTTCGGGTACTTACGCAGCTTTCTGATGAAACATAGGTCACTTTCCTGATGTAACGAGCCTTTTGCATCACCTTCAGAGGTCTTTTTTGTAGATTTGTAGATTTCAAGGGTAACCGAGTGGGACAGGAGTAACCCCCCAAGCCATTTTTGACTTATTGCAGGCTCCCCAAGCTACCATCTATAATATCCCCGTCCCAACCACAGAGCCGGAGATATCCCTGAGCGAGTTGGACAACAGTTCCCGAACACTTAGGGACCTATGTCCAAGATGATTACAGCGCCGAACAGCCACTGCCGGACAGTCGTAGAGAATGTGGACGACTCATCGCCAACAAAATCTGCACAGGGGGGAGCCCGACTTCCCCGTGAAGAAATTTGTAATAGTGCGGATCCGGCTCCTGCTCATCTCCAGCAACTCTGCTGTGAATCCGCTGGAGTACGCCGAAAGAAACACCTTCGCATGGCGGCACCCTTTCGCGTCCCGCCAGTGACGACCGCATCACGCCACAGGCAGGCAGGCAAGTCTGACCTCCATGGCGGAAGAAGGCAGACCGCAGAAAGGCAGCGGCTGCACAAAGTCAGTCCCACATCCCCTCCGCCGCCGAGAGCAGCGATTAGATCATCCACTACAATGGACCACAGGAGGGGCGAAAGAACCCCGCCCTGCGGACACCCTTTTGCAGCGGAGATGAAGAGTGTATCGTCAGCTATGGTGGACTTAATTATCCTATCCTGTAGCACCCGATTAAACCATCCCTCGTTTGTGCAACGACTCATAGATGACATGATATGGGGTGTTGTCAAAAACTCCCTCTATATCAAGGAAGTAGCCAACTACCACCTCCCGCACTTCCAGTGAGTTTTCTAGGACCTCTACCAGAGCGAGTACAGTAGACCTTCCCGACTGATAGGCGTCCTGAGACTCATGCAAGGGAATGCTTCCCAGTGCGTCGTGTCCATTGCTTTTAATAGAAAAGAAGTACGGCTGATTGGACGGAAAGACCTTCGGTGGTTGCTTGGTCGCTTGCCCGCCTTCGGAATATACGTCACTTTAGCCACCCTCCATGCCTGAGAGGTGTAACCCCATGCATAGCTGGCACGAAAAATTTCCAACAGTGTTCTAGCGATATGTTGAAAACTCCTATGCAAAAACGCAGGATATATCCCGTCATCACCAAGAGATTTGTAGGGCCTGAAAGAGAAAACAGCCTATCTAATCATGCCATCTAATAAGACCAAACGGGATCGTTGCCAATCATCCCTCCTGGGCCAGGATGCCCTCGGTTCAATGAACACATTTGAGTAATTCCGAAGAATCTCCATGTCTGTACCCTGCACTGTGAAGACGCGCACTGCTGGAGAGTTCAGAACGCCCTCCACGAAATTCTTTTCGCTTTCCTAAATTCCTTATTGTATTTCGTGAGTGAGTTTTTATATTCTTCCCACGAACTCGACGCCTTGGCCTTGTTGGATAGCCTTGAAAGCTCTCCATTCCGCCACGGGCACTTCCTATTGCTCCGCCTCGATTTAGCGCGGCAGCTCCCATGATAGGCACTAGTAATAGCCGCCGTCAGGGCCTCGCTGGCCGGTTCGATATCTATCATCGTTCTGACAGAAGCAGGAATGGATACACTCCCATCCAGGAGGAGTGTTTCGAATTGACTCCAATCTATGGATTGGGGCACCCGATACATTTCTTCTGCCAGGCCCCTGGAGACCATGACATCCATTGAATTTGAGACATGCCATCCACTAACCCTACTGCCGATAAACTCAGTGCAAAAGGTGATGTCAAGGACCTATTCCCTAATTTCATTTATGAATGTCGGCCTATTGCCTTCATTCTAATTAATTTATTGCTATATAAAAATTCAAGTGGGCACTCACCTCTTTTGTTTATATTACTGCTTCCCCAGACGGTGTGGTAGGCATTGGTCCTATTCCTATTATCTGTTGGAAGTTCCTCCATCCACAAAAGTCCACTAGATCTTTCAATTGTTCGTCCGGGTAGTCACAGTTTCCCGGGAGGTAGGATGAGCACACAAAAAACTATGTCCAACCCCCGGAAGACTTCACCTTCACCAACGCATCTACCTGATCCTTAGAACACTAATCTGGAATGGGAAAATACGTTAGCCTTTTACTAAACAATATGCAAGCCCTAGGCCTACCTCCAATTGTATTATCATACAATAGCTCACCTGTTAGGCCTATAACCTGATCCTTCACTATGTAAGGCTCTTGGATAAGGGCGATATCGAGGTGATCCTTTATAAATCTATGAGCTAGAATATCAGTAGATGCCCTAGCATGTTGTAGATTTATTTGGATGCACCTGACAACTAGATCATTTCCTACGCATTTTGGTGGGCGCTTGCCCTGCCACAGCCTCTTTTGCCGTCCTAGGCGCCACACTAGCCCTCCAACAGCAAATACCGAAGCAGTTTCGGGATTCCCAATGGGCTTGAGCCGTTTTGGTTCACCCGGTGTGCTTGTATTTGCTGTGCTGGTCGATACTCCTTCCGTTTCCCTTGCCACCATTTTCGGAGAGACTTCAGACTTTCCAATTAGTTTTAACTCTTTTGGTTGGCATGAAGTGCTCGTTGTTGTCGCGTTGGGCGTTGGTTTTTTATTTTGTCCTGCCCCGCCGCCAGCACCTTGAGAGGATTTCTTTCTTTTAATCCGAAAGGTAACATGGAAGAAGTTCAGGAAAAGTCGAAATTCCGCTTTCCGTAGATCTTCCAATCCGGAATCCTTTTCCTTATCCATCCTCAGCACCCTCCAAGAACTCACCTTGAGGCTGGGATTTTGCTTCCCTATCCTGCTTAGAAATTTGTCCCTGGGGAGACTGACGGTTGTCTCGTCCTTTGGTACGTAGGTGACGCAGACATGCTGTTTGGGCATGTTGTTGCCATCCAGTACCACGACGTTGCAGCCGTCCCAAGGCCTGGTGTTTTGGCTACCCCATCTGGACTTCGGATCCAGATTCCCACGAAACGGAAAAAGATTATTTTTATGATAAATTGGAAGAGATATGTAACAATGTAACTGGGCGACTTCAATGCCAAGATAGGCAAGGAGCTCTTTGCCAGGGAAGTTGCTGGCCAACACTCCCTTCATGATACAACATCACCAAATGGGGAAAGACTTTGCCATCTTGCTTCGGGTACATCGACATATATAGTTAGCACACATTTTCCGCATAAAAATATACATAAGGGTACATGGACGGTATCAGGAAGCAGTACTGTGAACCAAATAGACCATGTACTCGTATCTAAAAGATGGATGTCATCAATACTAGACGTAAGTGCCTGCCGAGCTGCAAACTGTGATAGCGATCACTACATGATCCGAATTAAAATCAGACAAAGGATCTCAAACGTTGGAAAGAATAGGGGTCAAAAAAGAAATAAATACGACACAGATAAATTAAAAGACGAGAACACACTCACAAGATATAGAAATAAAATTGAAGAGCAGCTCAACAACATCCAACAAACAGCGCAGGCCAATAACAGTATCAATCAGGAATGGGAAAATTTGAGTAAAACATTAGTAACTTGCACAATGGAAACGGTAGGAAGGAAGCAAATGCAGAGAAATCAAGAGTGGTATGACGAAGAATGTGCCAATGCTATAAAAGAAAAAAATATGGCTAGGGAAATCATGCTGCAAAGAATGACGAGAAGAAACGAGGAAAACTACAAAAATAAGAGAAAAATTGCCGACAAAATATGTAAAAGAAAAAAGCGTACAGCCATAAAAAAAAGAGTAGAAGAAATCAATTCAGCGCATAATAGCAAGAGCATAAGAAAATTCTATGCTAAATTAAAACATGAAAAAGCTGGCTTCCAACCAAAATTAATAAATGTTAAAGACAAGGACGGTATTATATTAACTGAAAAAATGCAAATACTTAACAGATGGAAGCAATATTTTCAAGAGTTATTGAATACAGAATCAAGGGAAGAAACAACACAATGGGTGGCAGCGGGGGATCAGGAGGAACGTGTCGATGAGCCTTCTATGGATGAAGTGCTCAACTCCATTGATTCTCTAAAGGCACACAAATCACCCGGAGAAGATTCAATAACAACAGAGATGATAAAAAACGCAGGCAGTCGGTTTCATGAATCTGTTCATGGGCTAGTACGCAGAATTTGGAGTGAGGAAATAATGCCCGAAAACTATAACGTCGGTATTATTGTACCCATTTTGAAAAAAGGGGATAAAACGATATGTGAAAATTATAGGGGAATTACTCTCTTGAATGCTGCATATAAGATACTGGCTAGTATCATTTCGAAAAGATTAAAAACATTTGCAGAAGGCATTTTGTATGAATACCAACGCGGTTTCAGGGAAGGCAGATCGACTATAGATCAAATTTTTGTGGTGAAGCAAAGTATGGAGAAACTATACGAATATAACCAGGATGTTCATCTGCTATTTTTAGATTTTAAACAAGTATTCGATAGTATCAAAAGGAATACAATTATAACGGCTCTGTCGAGTCTTGGTATTCCATCAAAATTGATTAGACTATAGTCATGATGACACTAGATGGAACCAAAGCCCGAGTAATGGTGCAGAATGAAGTTTCAGAGGTTTTTACGTTTGGCGCTGGCGTCAAACAAGGTGATACTCTTTCACCGACTATTTTTAATTTGGTACTACATTATGCGATTCGACATTTGTACAGAAATGGAAATATAATATATAGATCAACTCAAATAGGCGCATATGCAGATGATATAATTATAATGGCGAAGCGATTACAGGACCTAAAAGAAATCTTCACGGAATTGGAAGAATCTTGTTTAAATATTGGTCTAACAATAAACGAAAATAAAACAAAATATCTTAAAGTATCGCGATCGAATAGTAGAAGAACCGTATAAAATATTGTTATTGGGAGATATAATTTTGAAGGCGTAAGCGAGTTTTCGTATCTGGGTGCTCAAATAAATAATATGAACGACACAAATAGATGCATCCAAAGTAGAATATTGGCAGGAAATATATGTTACTACGCTTATGAGAAATTGTTTAAATCCAAACTACTTACCAGAACCTGCAAACTTCAAATGTACAAAACATTGATTAGGCCGGTCGTAACTTATGGTGGCGAGGCATGGACGCTCACCGTGGCAGATGAGAATATGTTACGTATATTTGAAAGAAAAATTCTAAGAAAAATTTATGGACCCAAGAGGATGATACTGAAAACTACTACATGAGATCAAACGCAGAACTACTTAATCTAATTAGGGGTGAAGATATTGTACGCTTCGTCAAAAGTCAAAGAATCAAGTGGGCCGGGCATGTGTATAGAATGCCGGAAGAAAGACTACCAAAATCAATAATGAGGGCTATACCAATGAATACGCGCAGCAGAGGCAGACCTAGGCTCAGATGGAAAGATAATATAGAACAGGACTTGAGAAAAGTTGGCGTTACCAACTGGAGAAGCTGTGCAGCCGACAGAAATCTTTGGAGGATGATTGTACAACAGGTCAAGGCCCACCCCGGGCTGTAGCACCATATGATGATGATGATCTGGACTTCGGATAGCCTTTCCTCTGAATGTAGTCTATGAGTGATGCCCACTTGACCTGTTCTACTGCATCCCTATAAGAAGTCATTTTCCGGTTTCGTTGAGGAATGTTCTCAGGAACCTTTCTCTCAACATTGCCCTTCATCGACCTCTTTTTTGAGGGCCCTGCATCAGAGGTGTTGCTTTCTGACCTTCCCCCCTCAGCTTTTCTAGCCTGTCCTTCTCATATCTGCGAGCTTCCTCTGGGAACATGCCATCCCTGATATATGCCGACATACGCCGCTTGGATGCACCAGAGAAATATTGTTTTTTTCCCCTCATGTCCAATCTTTTCAGGTCCTCCTCAGTTTGTTGAATAATAGGTCCAAGAGGATCCTGATTATATGTCTCCATCGGAAGCGCCGCCTTTTCCTTTACTGGCGTAAGAAGGAGATCCTCCTCTGCGTTGTTGTTGTCGTCGTTGTTGTTGCAATTGTTGTATTTGTTCTTGTTGTTGCTGTTGTCCCGACCCGACATGCCATGGGAAGGCTTGTTTACACTGGAGGGCGCGTGGTATCCAGAGTACGCATATTAACGACTAAGCTCCCCCTTAGCCATGCAGTTATCGGCATATGCTGTTCCTTCTTGACTTGGGACGCCTGTCGTCAGCTGACGTATAGATATAGGGCTGAAACTCACAAATCGAGAGGTTCGCCGCGAGACATGACCACGACACGATCGTAACTTTGATCGTTTCAATCACCATTTTATCCTCCGCCATAACCGGGGCCCACCACTAGGAGGTGATAGAGCGATTTTTGGTCTCTTCAGAGGTCTGACTTTTGTTCTTTTCTTCAGGCCTTCTCTCTTTACAACATTCTATTTCAACAAGGTTTTTGTTTTAACTTTCCCCCTTTTTTCTTGTTTCTCTTTGTACACGTTATTCTTACACATAATTATTAAATCATGGGGTTAACATACAGAAATAAATATTTCAAATAAACAAAAGGTCTAGGCATAAATAAAATAATATTTTTATTCAAATATATGTATGAAAATATGAATATATTAGAATCGAACATTTAAAAGATTTTCGTTCAAACAATTAAAAATAAAATTTTATGTACAAACATACATAATTATGAATGTACATCTATTTTTTTAAAACTGTGGGTGAACACATAAAATTAAATTTTTCAAATAAAGAAAAAAGTGCACGCGTGTATCTCAAGTTTTACTGAACCGATTTTGATGGAATTTTATATGTAAGTTCATTTCGGCTATGGCACAGATTGATCAACTTTTGGGATATATCAATCCTCGGGAACTACACTTTTTAGTGGGCCTGTTTTACATTTTTGATCATTTTCAAGAAAATATTCAGCAGATTTTCTTGAAATTTTATATATAAGCTTCGCTCGTCCGTCCGCGAAACACCCTAACTTTTGGAAAAATTCAGGTGTCAGCAACTGAACGTTTACTACGGGCCAAATATATTTAAATTCTTCGATAAAAACAATGAACCTATAAATTTCTTGGAAAAATCAGGGCTAGGAAACTGATTTGGGGGGCTATTTTATATTTTTTACCACATCTACGGAACGAATTGGTGGAATTCCTTGAAACTAACTGACGAGTATTTCAATGAATTCGGGTAGCACAAAGCGAAACTCTACTAAAAGCCAAATTTGCATTTTTATACATATGTTAACCATAAGCTTACTACTGCCCCAAAAATTAGAAAGAAATTTTTATATTCCGTAACAATTTCACTTAACTATACAATACACGTGACGCTCGGTTATGTTCTCACCACGTCAGATTTTGTTTTAATATATAACATACAAACATTATTATAAAAGTTTAAGAGAAACTTCCAAACACATTGTTATAATAGTTTGGAAAAATTGTCGAAAATTTTAAATATATAAGCATTTATGTATGAATATTTTTTTAAAAACTTTTTAACTAATTTTTTTAAGCTTTACATATGAATTCAAAACTGCTTCATTCCATTCAAAACTGTGGTTTGGCTTATAGAAATAAATTTTAAGCACATAAATATTAAATCATGAGGGTAAACAATCAAAAATAAAATTTTCAAATAAAAAAAGTTACAGGCATAAACAAAATAAAAGTTTTAATCAAATATATTTATTTATATATGAATGTATTTGAATTTATCATTTTATAGTTTTTCGCTCGAACAATAAAAATGAAATTTTAACTTCATACGTACATAAATTGTGTATCTATATTTTTTTAAATCTAGCTGACGAAACATAATATTCAAAACAATAACAAATGAAACATTAATATACAGTTGCAATAAAACTACTGATGTCTTTGATTAAATCTGACATTTATTTAAGTTTATATCGTATTTTCGAACTTCAAGTGTGTGAGATCATTACGTTATATTTTCGAATATTGTTTAATTCTCGTTTTCGGTTTGTGTTTCTAGTAATATAAAGGACAAAAGAAAAACGTGCTTTTGATATAAAACAATTTTTTCAGAAAATGTTAAAATAGAGCTATTTTAGGGCTTAAAAGTTCCAATGTAAGATTATTCTAGGACTCCAGTGCCCCATGCCTCTAGCCCTTCTAGAAGCGCCCGTTCTTTTTGACACCTGAGAAGTAGCTATATAATATATATAAAGTAAAATAGGGTGGTTTTTTAAAGAGTTTTATGAAATATGAATAAAGGCAAATTCAAGGTACTGCGATGCATTGTGGGTAGTGTGGTAGTCTGATAACCAGAAGAATATTAGATCGACGCTTCATCGATATTGTCGTATTTTTCCTTTTTTGTATTATTTTAAATTTTTTTTTATTGAATTTCGTTTAGGCTGGTGTAGATGCGAAAAAACCACAGTAGAAATGCTTGTGATAAGAGTCCACTAAGATCTAGGACAAATCCAGAAGCGTCTGATCCAGAATGAACGGCTGTCTGGTTTGCGACTGATCCCTGAGGGACTGTAGAAATTGGGAGTTCTGCCTTGCACGAGCGGTTCATTCCCAAAGACTAGGAGAAGTTAACTCCGAAATAAAGCAAAATCAATGAAGTGAACAAAGGAAAAGGGTTTTATACCACACGTGGTAGTCCAGTAAAACTGGAAAATCCAGACTCTTAGGAGGCTGACCTCATGGACTCTGGGGGAGACCAATTATTGCACCCACTACCGATCTTTTAAAAGAATATCTCGGGTCATGCGGACACCACCATGTGGTAAAAGCAAAGAAAATAAGTCCAAAGACAAACAGAAAAATACCAATATGGGTGCAGTTAGTGAAATAAAAGTTCATAAAACTGATAACTGCCACTTTAGAGCTAGAGTGAGCTAGGAGCACTTTGTAAAGGATTAAAAAATTAAATCCAGTATCTAGAGATGAAAATAATAAGTTAAAATTGGAACCAAGCTATGTAAGTACAATAGAAGAAATAATAGAAGTGGAATACTGCACAGATGAGGAGGATCTAGCTCCGATTGGATTCTCAAGAGAAAAAGCAAAAAGCGAAGAGCAGATATGTCACCTGAAATAAGTCCTGAGGACAAGGTGAGCAGAATTGAAAAATCTGTGCAGATAAATGCATTACAAGAAAGATCAAACTCCCTCCTGTTATATTAAGCAATGTGGAGGAATATCCAAAAATAAAGAAGATGCTCAAAAAAGCCAAAATAAACTTTAGATTCAACATGATGAATAATAATCAACTTAAAATCAATGTTGATGAAGAACAAAATTATAGAGGATTAATACAAAAAGGAAAAATAGCCTTACAAAACATAAACAAATAAAAATGATACCAAAAAATGCTCACAAAATTCCCAAAACCCCAAAAACAACTACATTGAATAAAAGAGTGCAGAAAGGGAAAGAAACATATAACCATACCGTATGTAACTATACTGTACATATCCCAAAGAGAATAAAAAACAATGGTCGAAGACAAAATAAGAATTGCGACGTGGAAAAGAGTATATTAAAAATATTCCTAGAGACCCAAAAT